GGTACATTCTTTAAATCTCCAGTGTTACAAGCAGAATAAGAGCTGTGGTGATGTATTTGCTCAGCTATTAGGCAACACAAGTGGGCTGCGTCACTGTGCCAACAGAGAGTGGGATGTGCAGTCGAGTCTTTCTTAAGCTCTAAGCAAATAGGAGGAAGATGGAGGGTTGAGAACAGAAATCATTCAAGTACACACTCTTCCTGATTCTCTGTAAATTTGGTGAGGCTACACCAATGCCTGTTGTTCTCAGTACAGAAAAGGGAAGCGCTGGTCCTTGTAATGTGCGCCCACTGGCCCACCAACTACCTCTCCAACATCTGCTGTCCATCCAAACTTGGCCAGAGCTTTAACAGGCCGGAGGCTTTCAGTAGCACAGGCCGCCTCTCCAGTCTTCCTCAGCAAGAACAGCTGTGTCTTCAAACACAGGCTCCAACGCCCAAGTTCCTATTGTGGATGTCCTCGGGCATAACCCTGCATCACCCCCCTACACTACAAGAAAAAGGTCTAGAACGGCCGCTCCACCAGTACAGGCAAAGAAAACAGATCCCCTTTGTTCCCCCTGCCCCTTCTCAGCATCGACTGAGGTACATAATCCACCCCTCCTCCCTCCTGCAACCTCGAAAGCTTCAAAACACTCCCACTTTTCCTTTCCCACCCTCTGCTGCTTCTGGTGGGTAGCAGAACAATTGAGCATCTTCAGACAATTGAGAAAATGTACTCCAAGCGCAAATCTCGAGTCTCATCTTCATTTGTTCATTTCAAGTGCCTACACTCGAGGTTGACTAGGAGTCAGATGCAGTGGTGTATAGAGCTCTTTAACATGTCAGGCGCTCTACTGGGGGCAGAGAGGAAACATAAAACCCACAACACGGCATACCATTATTCCAACCTCCAACATCAAAGGGGGCTCTGTTGCTGTTATTCCCAGGCAGTTGGTCTGGACAGAAAAGAGCATCTCTAAATGCTTTGTTCTCACTGAGGGGTGTAATGACAGGACATGGGTGATAATAGAGATGTTCCCTGAGCAACCTTGAGTGATTGTGCTTGATGACTGTCATGTTGTGAAGCTCTGTCACAATGGAACATTCACAGTGACAGCTTCTTATCCACCACCTGTCCACTCTCCCTACAGTGCCTAAAATATACAACCTAATGTAACGGTAAAGCACCTTATTTCACACAAGACAGCATTTGTCATTAGGGCTATGACTAACCACTTTTTCATTAATCTGATGATTATTTACTATTATTATTGAATCAATTTCATTTACTAACTATCCAAAAATAGTGAAAAATGCCCGTCACAGTTTTCAGTAACCCAAGTTGTTTTGTCCAGAGATGGATACTTGAGTCGGCGACCTTATAACAATACAACGCAACAGCAGCACAAGCTACAGCTTCCATAAAGCTGACTCAGCACCTCTGTCAAACACTTTGAACACAAATAATCACATTCAAGAAAGACAGTTGTATTAGACTGCATTAGTTTTAGCTAGGTGTATTTAATAAACTGACAACTGTGTCAGGGTTGATAAATCTAAGAGACATATGCCAGTGTTTGCCTGGAAGCACTGTATATAATATCTGTATTTAGATTCAGTTTCCATATTTATGTGCAAGTTCACAGAATTCAGTAAGAGGAAAGTTAAATGATCTGTGGGAGCTCAAGAGACAAAATACTAACCCACTATAAACTCTTATTAGTTAATATGTCAGATACACCAGAAGAAAATACTCTTGGAATAGTTTGCATTGGAAACATTAGAAACTTGAGACTTGACTCAGGCTAACATGAAGACCCCACTCGGACTTGCATTTTGTGACCCATGAACATGTATGTTTTTGTCCAAGCAGCTGTCCAAAACACAAAAATATTCAGTTTACTATCCCAGAAGACAGCCAATATACAAAATTGAAGCTGGAACCAAAACAATTAGCTTTATCAATCAACCATTAAAATTGCTGCCAGGTAATTTTCTATGAATTGCTAATCCATCAATCATTCCAATGTTTCAGCACCATTTGAGATAAAACACTTTCAAAGCATTTTTAAATTAGGGTAACTGCACATCTTTGTATCTAATTACTCAGACAACCAGTCTGAGTCTTGCTGTGAGTGACACATTAATCACCTAATATCAATTTTTCTTTGTCGTCTGTCACCATCCGCTCCTGATAATATAACACAGGCCTAGGATGTAAACATCAACAGTTACAGCAGTGCAAAGTGGATTCACAGGAACGTGTCAGCCCCCATTAGAGTTGCTGCCAAACTGAGTGTGAAACTGTAATTGTACCCACCAGATTGTAACAATACAGGCTCCACTCCCAGACAGAAAAGTGAAACACATGAACATGCATGCCCTTCACTGCATGTACCCATCGACCCTCAGATACATGTGTCCACATTACGACCAAAGCAAGTGCTCACGCAGTTATGAAACAGGGGGGACCCTGCTCCCTCTGCAGTTCACTAATGAGGCACTTATCTGTCCCAAAATGAGTTGAACATGTTTGTGACAAGGGGGCCCAAGCAATGTCAGCGTGCTGTGCTGCTGTGTGACTGGCCCACTGGGAAAAAACACCCAGACTGCAGTGACACTAATGGATAGGCAGAGGCCTCCATCGGTCCCTGGAGATTTAGCCTAATCACAGCTGAGCAGCACAGCACTTCTGTTCACAACGGCGGTTGGATCGTCTCCACTCAGGGCACGTGTCTCCAGAGCACACTCAATCATTCAGCCAGTCAGCTGGAGTGACCTGTGATGGTGCGTTATTGAACTGTGCCTGTGCAATTTTGCATAAAAAAAAGACATTATGGTAGGACCTTATTAAGGAACAGTTCGTTTTTTTTTTTTTCAATTTTGACCTATGTTCTTTAGTTTTGGTCAATATTTCTACCAGTAATGATAACAGTGCACCGAGAAAGATAACAGCTTTGATCTGACAACATGGCAACATCACTAAAAAAAGAGTAAAGAAGTCAGATGAGGCAAGAAACACAAGTGGTCACACAATCATGCAGGCTTCAAAGCTTCTCCTGCATTAGTTAAACTTATTTGGAAGTAAAACTGAAAGCCCAGCTGTTGGCCATACACACTGATCTCAGTTTACAGACCAACACACTCATTCAAATTTGACCAACTGTATATAATGTGCAGTAGTTATACATACACACAGTTTCTCTGTAACAACATGTGTTTGGTTTTGACAAATAAAGTGGTTTAGATGACCTGGCTAAACATTCTGATCTGAATTAAATGTCCAAATTTGAGAAGTGGGGCCAGGGAATGTCACGTTGACCAGCTAATGAAGTGTGTCCTTTGTCAAATGAGTAAAGTGAAAGTCCCTCAGGTTGACACCAGTTCCTTTAAGTGATGTAATCATCTTCACCACAAGTCACACAGAACAGCACTTTCTGTCTGTGAGGCACTTTGTCCCGTTTTGCAGTTGGGGGAGTTCACAATGCCACAGACGGCCGCTTACAGAAGCAACGTTGATGCAGAATAGTCTGCGTGTTTCTCCAGCCCACAGAGTTAAATTAGTGGCATTTTCCCTCCGACACCCAAGCTTTTCCCATAGCCTCCAGAGCTGCCCGCCGCTGGTATTAGGTCAGCAGTATGACTGACTGGTGCTCTCACAATAACACCAGCCAACGTGTGTCATGATAATCCCTTATTTATGCAAATCTCCCCTCTAGTGCCGGTGGTGCTGCTGGTGAAAGTAAAGATGGCAGCACAATGTAGGTCACTATCTTATCCTGATTTCTCCACATTGGTAAAATAAGCCTGAGTGGCCTATCTGTCAGCAGAGCTCCAGTAGCAGAAGATTAGTGGCTCCCAGGGTTCAAGCACCATCCTAACTTAGCATGGCCAAACTAGGAGTGAAGAGCCCACCGTAAGAGACACAGACAGTCAGGGGTATGCATACATTCAGAGGCTTGTTTCTGAATGAATCCAAACTAGGCGTAAGGCAGACATAGAGGGATATTGTTATGTTCTTAAACTGATTAACAGCAGTATGCCTGGAGTGAATAAACACTACTAGAAAGTGTGTCAGCCCTTTCAGAGCCCACCCAGTACAAGAGCATCAGACAATATACAGTAGCAGGGGTCATTAGCATTGTATTAATTAGGGTGTCTGAGCAGGCAGCAAAAGTGTGCAACTAAGGCATGTGTATGTGGGTGTGTGAGTGTGACTGTCTGGGGGTGAGCAAAGCAAGATGAGGGGTAGGGGGGTTGTTGTTGCATGATGGTGAGTTCCCCCTTGACTGAAGCTCTGACCAACAGGAGCCAGAGGGAGGAGGACGGGGGAGTAAAGAGGGGATTGGGTGGGAATGAGGGGCTTTTTTTCCAGTAAAGCAGCTGCTTGGTTATGTGAAATAAATGGAGTGAGATGTAAGTGGTGAATCTTGGGGGTGGGGGACTATCATAATCAGACTGAGTTTGATGAAGAGAAATTACTCTAAACAAACTGACCGGTCAGTCAAAACAAGACAGGGCTGTGATATGAATATGATGGGAATTAAACATATGGGGAGCAAATCAGCTTAGGACATGAGGGGGTTTTGTGTATAAGGGCAGCAATTTCATCAACACATGACAAAAAACATCTGTCAGATACAAGAGATCCATATCTGGCTATCTGTGCTTACAGGGTCAAACATACAGTAGGCATCATAAAGCAAAGGACAAACCACATGAAAGGTTCAGACTGGAATATAAGTGGCAGTATCTTTTAAGCAGTACACTCAGCGTCAGCCCTTGGTTTGGCAGTCCCGCACACCTGCACCTGCTGTGTCTGATGACCACAGAGCTATGCGCTAACGTAGCGTAAAGTGCGCTTCGAAAACACCCTGTAAACAGAACAGTGGTTTTACTGCAAGCCAAGAGCATCGAACTCACTGTGGCACGCTGCCTCTCTCTCTCTTCACAAACTCCTGACAGTGAACTATGAGATACACCGCACGTGTTTATTATGAATGGTATCATTTAGCTCACCTTCTCTCCTCAGTCCGTGACGCGGAACACGAAGCTGCTCTGTCTTCAGTCTCCTGCGACAGACTGCGATACAGACTGCTGTGTATTTACACGGAATCCTGTTCAGCGCCCTGCCTCTTGCACTTGCCTTCCCTGCCTCACTGGTACCCTCCTCTCCCACCAGTTCATCAACACACACACACGCAGGCGGGGCGGGGGGACGCAGCAGCACTCCGGGACGTGCGCACACCCATTGCGCGCACTGCAGCGCCGCTGCCGATATATAGTGGCCTGAAGGCACTGAACCATTCTAGCAAATCCACATAGACACGCTAATAGTACTTTAGCCCCTGACAGACTCAAGCTCACAGATGGACAACAGCTGGACGAGTTTTAGGATAGAACAAGCTAAAAATTGCCCTTTAATGCTCAGCAATGTCCTTTTCTGTTATTTAGCAGCAGGGATTGGCTTTCAAATTAAGCCTGGTTTGGCATAAAAAGAGGGTTTCAGGTTTGAGTTGTCATCCAAAAGCAGTTTGACAGAAATCAGGTTGTGGCACAGATCTGAACCAAGATGAAAATGCCTTTACATTTACTAACCATGTAGAAATATGCTTAAGTGCAGCCCATCATAAAAAGCCTAAAGAACTATACAAAACCTTTAAAAGGGTCAAATCCATGGACCCTCCTTCACGTAGTTCAGTGCTCCTCTTTCTTTAAAGGTAAACTATTTTCAGAACCTCTGTTTTACTTAACACTGACAACTGACTGAAAATTGGGAGAAAGTGGGCTTGACATGCAGCCAGCGTCATTTGCTGGATTTAATCCCCCAGTGTCAAAAGCAGCAGTCCCCCTCATCTAATGGAGGAACCAAGGGATTCATACCCACTTCAGTTTATAGTGCCACACTGGGAATTATTCTAATTGTCCTTGCCTCTCATTTCAGACCGCCTCCAGATATGTCTGCATTCCTCCTGAATCTCATTAAAATATTCTCTTAATTTCTCCCATGCATATTATCCATAAAATACTCTGAGGGATTTTCATAAGTTCAAGGATACAGCACCATGGAGCCAAATATGCAAGCTGCAAAGTGAATCTTGTCAGGGCTTTGTGTTGAACAGCAAAAGCCCACCAGAGAAGACGTTTTCTCTGCCTCACTGGTAACTCCAATTACCGTGTCTATTACTGCAGTGGATCCTTGAAGTCCTCTGATCGCTGAGATGCAAATCTTCACAAATGGCAAAGCTATTGTGCGGAAGAGAAAGAGCTATTTCTTGGCCCGTTTTCTTTACGGAGTCAGTGTTATTTCTTTTTTATTCTTCAGATCAAACTGGATAACAGAGGCAGCACCAGCAGGCCAACCATGAAATGACCTGGCTCTCATCAGAGGTGATGATTAATAACACAGATTCACCATAGCTCAGCACGCTCACAGTTAGAGCTTATGTCAAAACACAGAAATGACACTACAACCATGATACATTCGCACTGACATTTTTGAAATATGCAGCAGAGAAAGAGTTAGCCATGTATTATTTGCAAGAAAAATAGCTCAGTTTTTATAACATTCATCTGTTATGTAAAAGTTTGACTTTGACAGTCAGTAAGTCCCATTATTCATTATCACCCGTGTTTCTGCCGCTTCTTTACAAATGTGAAAATCACATTTTTAAATTAAACTCTTCATATCTAATCTCAATATCAGCTGCCTGCTCCAAAACTAATTAAGTGCTAATGAGCTGGGTTGATTTGTTGCAGCTAAATGCGAGGTGGAACTGAGTAGCAGCCACCCTGAGAATAAACAGTTATTACATAAACACAAAGACATGAAGTCACAGTACTTGTCAAAACCTCCTTGAGACACATTACCAGCATGGACCAGAGACAAGTACTATATTAGTATTCTGAGGTCGGAGGTCTGGACAAAGATGCAAACAAAATTAAATTACTGATGTGATTACTGCTGAGGGACAACTTTATGCGCAAGATCTATTACATCAGGAGAGGGTGCATTTCCTCTCTCAGTCTGTCATGTTACATTATGACTTCTCTCTTATTGAGTGGGAGCAGCCTTTACTGGCTGTCTGTCATAACGGACAGGAGGCAAAAGCATCACATGAATCAATTTAATTCAGCACAGTGACAGCAGATTTTCAGGTAACATGTTGGATTTACAGTGACTATTATTCATGGGAATCCTTGGAAAAGGTTTTACAACTCATGTTCAGTCCATTTCTTTGATTTCTCCCATTTTCCATTTGCATCTACAGCATTCAATTTACAGTTGTTTTAAGTTACTTTTCACTAGGTAATTTTTAATGAATCATTGAAGCCTTTTGCTCCATTACATCTCCCATCACCAAAGAGTATGCTGAGTAAAATGCAATGTCACCATCAAAAAGGCTGTAATGAAGGCAATCTTTTCTGTTAACAAGTGCAAGTTTGGCCACTGATATCATAGCTGCATTCACTCAAAGGAGCTCTTCATTTAACCCTGAAAATGTCAGGATTTAATCAGTGCTCACTTCTGTGTCAGAGTTTGAATTTGCTCTGAAAGTAACCTCCAAACTATTGATGTGAGAAAACATGTAAGGCCAAATTCAAGGGCCAACATTGAACGTTAAAGTAAAAGACAAAGTAAATAAAGTGGATAATCTTGATTTTACAGTATTCATTCAAAATTACAGAGGACGAGAGAAGACCTGTCTTGTGATTTAGAATTAATAGTGTCTCTAACCCCCCACCCAAAAGCCATGCCTTTTGTACTGTCAGAAACTCAGATGAAACTTCTTGATACTTTGTGACAGGGTTTACATCATATTAAGTATAACACTATAGTTACTTGGGGGCAGCTGTGGCTGAGGAGGTAGAGCGGGTCGTTTCCTAACCGGAGGATTAGCGGTTCGATTCCCGGCTTGTCCAGTCAACATGTCGAGGTGTCCTTGAGCAAGACACTGAACCCCCAGTTGCTCCCGGTGATGTCACCGGTGTGTGAGTGCTTGGGAGTGCGAATGGGTGAATGGCCGAATAATGTGAAAGCGCTTTGAGTGTGCTGTAAAAAGCATAGAAAGTTATACAAGTATAAGACCAAGACCATTTACTTGCCTACAGTGGAAGCAGCAGAAGACTCAGCACATGGTCATCAGAAGGTTGACAGGTGGTCTGGGTGCAATAAGCCAAATCCAGTGCACAGTGCCCTTCTCCTTACTTCCTTATTAATGAGGAATGTGCTGACTACTGGCACCAGAGTCAAGCAAAGAGATCAGAATAGCTGCATGTCTTATACCAGGTGAGGCTCCTGCATGTGGCACATAAACATTTATAAAAATTTTTTCAAGTGGACAGAATTAAAGTGTACTGTGAGGGATCTTGAAATCCATGCCACACATTGTCCTTCCATACATACATGGCTGCTAATATGGGCTTCACTGCCTTCCCCTATTGGTCACACAAGGTCAGGAGCAGTGGTGGGAAGTAAGTAAACACTTACTCAAGAGCAGTTTTGAAGGACTTGTACTTTGAGTATTTCCATGCTACTTTATATTTGTATTCCACTGCATTTACTGTAGATCTAACTTAAAATATAACACAATCATCAGTCAGTATATCAATAATCACACTGCATAATAGAATACTGTTACTTTTATATTAATGTATTACTTTAATTTGCAACAAAATTAAGTAAAAGATCTGAGTACTTTTACAGGCAACAAAGGCTTCCAAGAACTGGGATCAACACCGCAGCGAGGAAGGCTGTGCTGAAGAGACGCCTTCAGTATTAACGTCACTAACTGTAATCAACTGGACAAGCATACAAGGGCTCAAACCTGTCCTCCAGGTTTTCAAATGGAAACCAAAATCTGGACACCAGTGCACTTCATTAAAACGGCTGGTGTATTCTCATTGCTGTCTAATAAAACAAAAACAGGCTAATACTACATCTTAATAAAATGGTCTAAAACGAGATCAAGACTCTCCATCAGGAAATGATAGTTATTCTCGGTTATCTGGTATTCCTGGCTGTAAATACAAATAAATACCTGAATATGCCAGATAAGGGTATATAGTTTTATTTGCTGAGTGAACAATCAACTCGACATCTCCAAACAATAGGGTTCAGTACTTTGATCTCCTTTTACCAGTGAGTACTGAAACATATTTAGGATTTTTTTACTCTGCTTACATCCTGTATTGTGCTCCCCTCAGACTACTGCTGATGTTGTTTGTTGTGTCCTCTGGCTTCTGTGGCCATTGTTGTGTTTTTATGCCCGTAAGCAGTTGGTGGAGAGCTCTGTCTGTGTAAGGTGTTTATGCTGGAGGGAAATGTGATCCATCACTGGCCAGGGCTGTTACCCAGGTGCCGGAGCACAGCCTTGCACAGTCATCTCATCTCTCCATTCGCCTTTTTATGACAAGCAACTCAGGGATGGGTCTTAAAATTACCTTCACTGAAAAATAGACCCCTACCTTTACACACCTAGTGAAAAAAAAAAAAAACTTCAACATAAAATTTATTTTAATTAGAAGGAAAATATCCACTGCCAGTTCTAGATGTGCCTGCAGTTGTAATTTTATCAATCTAAATTTGTCTCTAAACAAGCCGAGCACCTTGAAATTAAGGTGACGGTGCATATCACTCCAGATCTCTGTTGGAATAATTAAGCAGTTGTGCATACAAGTTACCAAATTAATATCCACACCTCCCGTCTTCATTAGATGATCCACAGCAGCTTTCCTCAGATCACAATCAGCTAATCTTCATATAATTAAGAGGTAACATGCAGCAAGGTTCACTGATGGGTTTTAATTACACACACTCTCAGTCTTTACACGGGGACAACAGGAGAAGAGAGAAATTCTAATAATCTGTGTAATATCTGTATCCATTTACCTCAGGTCTTCTGGGAGCACCCAACACACTGTACCAGCTATACAGTACTTTGACAGGTTAGGCAAAGTAAAAACGCCTGCAGTGCAAGATTTAGAGCAAAAGACAACACACGGCCCATCTTTAGTCATGACAAATCAATAAGCAGCAATCAGTTTTAAGTCAGTCCTTCAGCTAAAACCTGAATTATTTCAACAAGCATTACAGCACATTAAAGTGGGGACTGAAACACAGCACTTCAAGGTAGAAAGAGTGAAACAGTCTTTCGAGAAGCGGTATCAAAAGGAAAGAGGAGACAGAGGTCATAATGTGGGTAGCCTGTGAAACCAAACAATCAGGCAGAATAAAAGCAAATATGTTGAGTTTAAAACAATACATAAAAGGGGTGGCTGTGGCACAGGAGATAGATCCATCGTCCCCTAACCCGAAGGTCAGTGCCTTGATTCCCATTCTCCCCAGTCCACATGTCAAAGTGTCCTTGGGAAAGACACTGAACCCAATTGCTCCCAATGGCCAGAGCAGCGCCTTGCGGGGACAGTGCCGCCATCAGTGTATGCATGAGTTGGCGCCGCAAATGGCTGCCTGGGTTCTGTACCGGAGACAAACTCCGTGTGTGTGTGTGTGTGTATATAACAAACCCGGCAAATAAAAATGATTATCATTATCAAAATTCTTGTACCAGTGAGGCTCCATTTGGAAATGTATTTGCCAATTATGTTTAATCATCATCAATCATGAGTTATTAGAATTTAATACTGGAAACCATCTTTGCCACTTACACCTCTCTGCAGGTTTTCTTGATTATTTTTTTAACTGACTTGTCTTTGCATGTAAAATCAAAAATATGCATTCACCTATAATATTGAATACTGCACTATTTGAAATGGGCCCTCATGTACTGATGTTACTATTATCTATATACAATTACAGTTGACCAGTAGCTGCTTTGTTAAATGTGCAAATTTTCATCATTATAACTAAGAAATGTTAAACTGACCACGATTAGACAAACTGTCCAAAAACAGGATTTTTTTTTGTCATTTCTTTACATTCCTGTTTAACAGTGTTACATATTGGTTTAGCTCAACAAATACTACATTTCAATAACACACAGCCTATCTACACATTTTTATGCGAGAATACAAACCCAGGTCTGTGAGGAAATACTGCAGTCATAAAATAACAGCAAATGCTTTAAAAAAAAGTGCTCAATTAATAAAAACATTCTGGATGAACTACTAATGCAGTCATTACTTCCTACTGTTGAACTTTACAGTATTCTGCTTTTTAAAGGAACAGTTAAACATTTAGCAAAAAATGTTTACATATTTATGCATTCACACTGAAATCACTATCTGAAGTATGTCTGAAGAGAAACAGTAGTGTTTGGCATGCTAGTTTCAATGTTCTTCACAGCTACAGGTCAAGAGGTTGAAAACTATGATGCACTAATCATTGTAATGTGATATTTCAGGCAATTTAGAATAAGTAAAGTGTTTCCACGTGAGGTGGCTCGTGTTGGACCTAGAACTTGGAGGAGTAAAAAGACAGACCAGTATACATGTCAGCCCTACGCCTGACCCACTCTGCCATCCTCTGGACAGAGCGTTTCTCTCGATTGAGGATGCGAGCAGCCTTCTCAAGCTTCTCCTCATTCCTCTCCAGATAACGGACGCCCTCAGCCTGCAGCAAGTTGAGCTTCTCATACCGGTTCTCGTCCAAGGGAATATCTTCGCTCATGTAGGGGTTGAAGCGGAAATAAGTGTTGGGAGGGAGGAAGGCGTCAAGCATGGCATGGACCTCTGGAGGAAGGAAGAAAGGTGACAGTTTTATACATAAAGATCACAATCATAAACACATAATCAATGCCCTAATAGTCCCAACATGTACAAACATTCAAATTTTGTGTTAAGAGTGAAAAGGGCATGGAAAATCAAAATGTGTCTGTCAGCACTACATTTGCACAGAGTGAGCGCTTGGAGCTGAGTGTGTGAAATAATACACAGTGAAAATGCCTGGCTTGCCTGTCATGGCTGTTTTCACCTGCTATGTCTTAAGAGGTTTAAAATAGGCAACATGCATGCAAACAAGCAGTAACAATAACAAGGTAAATATGCCAGAAGGATTCAAAACAGTGAATTTTCTGTCAGTGTTTCCACAGTAGTTTGGCAGTTCATATGCCAAACAAACCAAATAATCACACCTCCAGAACTGCTGTATTTCAGGGGGTGGCCCTGTGCAGTGCTATGTGGAGAGCGTATGGAGCTAAATGAATGTAACTGTGCTACGGCTATGCTAGCTGTACATTTTAAGTTAATAACTTCCAAAACAGCCTGTAGAGGACAAAGGGGAATCTGGGCTGTCTGTAAAGATGGATTTAGAGAAATCAAAATAACTTTAGATAAATGTCTTTTTGTTTTACAATACACTCAATTTATTAAAAAAATGGATAAAAATGGCCATAATATCAGCTCTTTAATATGTGTGGACAACAGATAACTGAATTTCCAATGTGTTTGAATCTATGCCAGAAGTCTTTGCTGTGGTTCACAATACGTCCACTTGCACATCAGACAGACAGCAATGGGATCTAACCACAGGCCAGCATTTATTCAGAAAGTTACAGGATGTGTAGGCAAATAGGTTTCATGTCCAGCATTTTAGCACCATAAACATACAAGCAAAAGCTTGTTCAACAGTTACTTAATAAACTGTTCATATAGTCACTGTTACTGGCAAGTTGTGTTGCATGCATGATTAAATAGCACTGTGGTCCTTGACTTGATGCTGTCTGCTCAGCTGTGTACAGACGAGTGCAGTGTGTTTCACTTGCAACGTTCCAGTACAACACCATAAGACATAAATGTGCAAACTTTAATGGTGCATTCACACATATACATAATAAGTAGCTGGCAGTATCTGGCCCCTTATGAATCCGTAGCTCTGGGCTTGTATTGTGTTGAACACCTAATTTACATTCTTTTCTCCAAATGCAAAGTTGTCTCCTGACATATCTGCCTCTGCCAGGCACACCAACAATGTTGGCGATTTCCACATTGTTCCTGTTGTTTATGTCCCAGTAACTTGTTAAATTTGTGGAGAATTGTGAAGTCGGGGACGGTGACATTCAGATTTTCAAAAGTTCCCTTGCAAAACTGAAGCAGTTATTACTTTCCTTGCCTGTAGGTGGAGATGAATACGTTTACATCTGCACTTCTAAACCGCCGCTGCTGTGATATAACCAAACAGCTCCCCTGGTGGAGAACCTATTTTGTGGTCTGCTAAACACGGCAAACTGAGTTTGTGTGCGAACTACAAGCTAGTTTCATATGAAGCTTTGTTTACATGTAAAACCCCATTAGATCTGCCTTATTTGTGCAAAATAACAAACTAGCTCTAATGATATAACCAAGGCAAACTATGGGGACTATGAACATGGGGACAAAAAGAGGAAAAAAAAATAAATCAGTGATAAACACTCTTGTTTATCTGCCGTTTGTAAATAACAGACCCCACTGGAAAACTGGAGAAAACCTAATCCTAAATACAGGACGAACAAGTGCAGAGAGGCATGTAGGTCACATGCTGCACCACAGCAGCAGCGACAGCGAGGAGACCAAATCAAATTTATGCACAGCAGAGGTGCCCGTGTTCAGGGGTGATAAGAAGATGGAAGAGGTAACCGCTACCGATGGCCACAATGGGACGTATCCGGAACAAAGTCAGCCTCCAGTGCAGTATTTTCTACACTGATGGCATCAAAACCTTTTTAAAGGAAATAATGCACAAACAGTTAGAAAAATTAATCCATATGCAGTCTGATTAGAATGTGTGTTAATTTAATCTTCAGATGCAGACAAAAATAACATTTAAACTACATCAGCATCACTAGCAATACCAATGGATCACATTAGGTCAATCCCAGCTATTTTATATTCCCTGGATACTTGATACCTGAATACTTTATACTGTCTTGTTTTAGGTATTTTTGGGTAGTTTTTCAGAGATCCTCATGGCTGAAATACAGCATTTCCCCCATTGTGGGATTAATATATTCTTGTCCTTGATCTCTCTCGAATACTATAGATCTTGTCTTGTTCTTAGGTATTTTTGATGTGTTCTCAGGGATTAATTGTGGGAGGGTCATTCTTGATCGTCTCTCAAATACTATATTCTGTCTGGTCTTAGGTACTTTGGAATTTGTTTCTCAAGATATGTGTGTGGTAGTTGTTCTTATGGTGTTTTGTTGTTGTTCTCAATCGCTTCTGGAACACAGGAATGTCCCCATTGTGGGATCAATAAAGTCCTACCTACCTACCATTCCCTCCTGCCACCCATATACTGTCTGGCTTATGGCCTGTTGGTGGGTTTCAATGTCTGACCAGTGTTCCTGTTTGATGATGCAGCTTGTCTGCATTTGGCATATCATGATTGTTGGACTGTTTCCCTAGACATATTACGTAGTGCTTTGGTAGTTTTTGATCACTTTGAACAAAAATAATGACTTTTTTTTCCACAGTGCCAGTGGTATTGTGCTGCTTTGAAAGCTCACATATAGAATCCCAACTATAACAATTATAGTTAATCAACCGTATAAGACTTTTTTGCACTACTCTTTATGACAATGGATTATAAATGATTGAATTGATATTCTAGAGTTTTAGCGTTACACCATAAATTTGGGGACAAACTATAAAAAGACTGCTCAGAACTGGAGCAGAAAAAAATAGATATCCTTTCTTTTATTACCTAGTATGAGTCAAGCTCCAAAATCTGATGGATCCTACACTTCCCATAATGCAACAACAGCATTTTTTGTTAAAACACGGACAACTTTCAAACTGAACAATATTTGATAAGGCAGACTTTCTAATATGAATTAGTAGTCTTCAAACACAGACCAAGATCCACTGATGACATATTCAGGGTAATTTTCACAGAAAGCTTTAAAAAGACACATTATGTATTATCATAAGGTGGACAACAAACAACTGACAGAGGTATAATGAGGTTGAATACAAATTGGAAATGTACAGGCTGAAAACCCTGTTTAAACTCTATATTGCATAATGCACATTTAAGATTCTGCAGTGCCAGTCACTTACCCTCAGTGTCTGTGGCACTGCTGATGACATTGGTTAGTTTGGCTTTGAGACTTGTGTAGGTGGTGCTATTCTTGCCAGGGGATGCAAAGCGTCCCGTACCGAGTGAGACCACACACTCTAAAGGCGTGTTAGGCCACAAGCACTTGCACTCATGGATAGCAAGAGCTGTGGGGTTGTTAATCAGCAGACCTCCATCCTGTGCACAAAACAGAACAAGTGCCATGTTAGCGACTCCATGTTTGGACTGTGAATGGTGTTTTATGCCAAAACCAGATTCAGTGAAAACAGTTAATTGGCATTTGAAACCTAAAAACCCTTCATGGATTTTAATAGTCAATAGAAAAATTTTTGAAGAACATCTGATGAAACAAAAACAAAAAGAATGAATCAATGCACAGTGCTAGAGCCCCTTGTAAGTCTACAAAGCACTGAGGTAAACTGGTGGGGTTTTTCTCCCTTTCCTCATACTCTCAGTCAGATGGGCTTTGATATTGAACAGCTGCCCAGGAGGGCCTCTGCTTTGGATCCATAGTACACCCAAGGCAATGGGGGGAGTAACTGGAGAGGCTGTGGGGACTGTTGAATAGGCATGAGGGGCCGCAGGGCTGTGAGTTGGCAGCAGGATCAAACACACCGGGGCTAGTCCTCGTTAAAGAGGCCAGGCTGGAGGGGTGGGAGCCACAGGGCCCCCAAGTGTCTAGGGACACTCAAGGGGTAAGCATGCTTGTTTATAAGACTATTTGTATGTGCATGTCTGATCGAAGGTTCATGCCTGCTTAAAGTCAGTGAATATAATAATGTAGGTACGTGTTTCTGACAGCATATGTCACATGGATTCACACAAACAGAGGCTTGAGGAGGAGAAGCCATTTTTCAGGGCACTCCAGCAGCATCTGCTAACCATCAGGGGAGCTGTACTAAAAAACTGCATGAATCCAAAGAACAGGAAAGTAAAATTGCAAAGGGAATTTGCTATTGAAATTAGACTGGGGGCACTGAATCAAGTAATAGCTCCATTGATAGCAGGTGCTTTGTGGGCGTCTTGTGAGTTTTAATGTAGTAGTTCAAAACTATGAATTGATTATGAAATTACAGAAAAACAATAGGGCAAGGCACTAAATAAAAATAATTCACTAATAAATAACAATCAACCAAAACCATGAGTCAACACCCATACTTGTTAAGATTGGTGTAGTCACAGAAGTGATTTGAGCTAAATGCTACAACCAGCATGCTAACATGCTTATGTTTAGCAGGTATGTTTACCATCTTCGCCATCTTACACGGTTTACCTCATCAGAAAAAAAAAGAAAAGAAAAAAAGTACAGCTGTGTGATGAAAATGTCATTTGCTGCAATGATTGCTGAAATATTTGGTAAAAACCCCACCAAAAAAAAAAAAAAAAAAAGTAATTGGCTACCATTTTATTTTGATAATTGATTATATTTGACATTTAATAGACAAATGACTGATCAAACTGAGAAAACTGACAGATGAATCAATAATACTGTAACAATGACTGCTAGTTACAGCCTTGTATTGGACATTACATTTTTGACATGACAATAGCACTACTAGATTAAAAGATACAGGATCACAAAAGGAATAACGAATCATCCTGAGGGAGACATGACTATCTCAAATTATGTGCCAAATCATTAAGCATATCTTGAGATATTAAACCTCAAAAAGGAAAACTTTGACCTGCTGTTGGTGCTAGAGAAAGCATCATTTAAGTTATTAAAATTCTTTCCCCTGGAAAAATGAAGACCTGCTTAAAATTTCCAATAGTTGTCAAGCTATTGCTGTTTGGACCAAAGTAGTTAGGTGTTAGGACTGCTGTTCATGCTACTAGAACGGACAGATATGAAGAAAGAAATGTGAAAAGTTACCAATGTCTCCGCTGAGTCACACTAATCTGTTATGACAATGTACTATTTGATTAATTTAAAATCTTGAGTTATTGAGAAAATTGAGCACCCATCTCACTGGCTGAGAAGGAAGTCACACAAAGGGGGTGCACATGAAGCATGGAGGAAATGCTGAGGTAACCGCTTGTCCAAAGCACCTCATAATGCACCAGTAGGGTGTCTGACAGACCAAGAATTAATTTCAGAAAAGGGAGAAATTGCCTGGATTGGAGCTGCTCCTAATGGAGACTTAGAGCGACTTGCACTGCAGTAAAACAAACTCTGCTGGAAATGAAGCACCCAAGTAGTTTTCTTATCATTCACAGCACTGTGAGAGGCTCTACTTTCTGAACTCAGCAGCAATTACGGTAACAGTCTGGGTCCAGGTGTGGGTTGTTTGTGCTGATAGCTGAGGGCAAGTTTCTCAGACACAGTGGCCAAGAGATGTAACATTAGAAGCCAAATGCACAATGCTCCTGTAAGCTGCGAGTTGAATGCTGTAACTTGTCTCCATTTCAGTGCACCTGCTTAAGCAATTGAGAGAACGTCTGGTTTTTGGCAGTGAAGAATTCTTGTGGTGCCACAGTAAGACTAGTAGGCTTTCTTTGTGTTTGGTGCTCAGAAATCTTCATAGAATAAGTTTAGAGGATAATTAGCATCGGTCGTCTTCTTCCACAAAACCAAACGAACCTCCTTGACAGAGAAAGTACCATGGCTCAGCATACAGTTTGGCAGAGCCTGGGCTCTTTAAAACCACTTTTCCGAGAGGTATCCATTGTTGGACCACTGCCACATTCTCACACAGGGGCTTCTTGAGGCCAGGGCATATGGGGTGAGGAGTTAAGTTAGAAACAATGATCTACTTAGGGCAAACTGCAAATTGGCTTTACTCACAAAATGGCCAAACTTAAGCCACCTGTCACACATGCAGCATGACGCAAGGCTAAGGTCACTTTCATTTGTAAGGATTCAGAGTTGTAGCACTGCCCATATTTACAATCAATCTCACTGAGAATAGAGTTCATTGTGCCAACAGATAAGTGTCCTCAGAGGGTATACCCCTGTCGGCCATGTCCATCTGACAGAAGTTTAATTCCAGGGACTGAGAAAAAACTAAATTTTGAAATACCAAACTTGAATCCTGGCATCCTGCCTGAAAGGCTTAATGGTTTTCTTTGATAGCTTTCTTTGATCCTGGTAAAGCCTGTTTGTTGATACTCCAGAGGATCAGCGCTCGCCTGGCCTTGCCTTTGCCCTTCAGGGTCTAATGGTTAATTCAAATATCAGCTCCTCCTTTTCCTATATGAGAACAAAGCAAGTTTTCATCTAATTAGGGCTCCTTCACTTATTGGCATGAGTTTGTTTTAATAAAGAAATTGCTCTTCCAGTATAATCTCAAATAATATGAGCTGCGATACATATACAAAATTAACACATGCACAAATTATAGGCTCTTTGCACTGGAGTTCAAAATGTCTCCACTGTCATTAACTTCTGGGAGCTTATCTTCATTGTGCCAGTTTAAGCTGTCTTAGAGGGGGAGTGATGATTTGAATAGGAAAGAGGTGCTATCATCAGGATCAGGAAAAGTCATTTCACGCCCCAATGTATGTCAGCTCTCATTAGCTGGGACAGTAAACTTTATCTTCTTCATTCAGCCGGCACGCATGTATTTCACTCACGCTCTAACCTGTGGGTAAACCTCAGTGCTGACTGGTGCAAGGGCCATCATGAGCAGCCACAACACAGAAATGAAAGTTAGCCTTCTTAAATCTAAATAAGGTGAACCTTTGACATATAGTTCTTGGAGCGTTCACATGACAGCCCCCAGTGAGCAGCTGTAGTTATTATGTCTTCTTTCACAAGGCTGGATTGAGGGGCATTAAGAACTGTCAGGATTTATTATCAAGTCCTGCCAGAGGCTCCCTTCTCTCAAATGAGGAGAAGCATTATAAAAGGCAGGAACATGAGATTACACCTGTCACAATAACCAGTGTTTTTCCAGAGATGGTTGCTTAATTGAGCAGTAGATAATTAGGTTGCTATAAAATAACCTCTCATGTCTTCACAATACTTTGCATTAATCTTCCAAATCAATTCATGTTGTTTGTTCATAAAAGAAAATAAAAAAAACAAAGAAAAAAACCCACAACAACAGCCTCACATTTACATAAATTCCACTGTTGTCATTCTCATCATCACTGATGAATGACAACGGTTTAGTGTGGTGAGTGTCACTCTGGTAAGGCAGACAGGTCAAGTCAGAGGTCTTCATGCCATATTATGCAATTATGTCGACCAGCTCTCCTCATTGCCTTTTTACTTTATAGGCCCCAAAGGGCACATTGAGGTTCAAGTCATCTTCCCAGGCTGTCAATAGAGGAGGGACCCATCTGTGTGGGTGCCAACTTTGCCCCGGGCAAGCAAAGCAATTGAGATATACTGTGCACAATTACCTTTTCCCACAGATTTGGTGAATACATGACCACACATGTACACCCAGTATTGAAACAATGAATCATCTCTGCTGGCTGAAGCAATTCAGCTCAAACAGTGACAATTCATACAGTGATATTAATGGTTACAGAACTCCCTCATTCCTTGTATATACTTGGTCTACATTCCTTTGATACAGTATTTGACATCATGACAGAGAAAAGATAGTGGAATGCTTTCACACAACAGTCAGTGAACATAATCAGTGGAATTGAGCTAATCCCCAAACAAGTATGCCAATGTAATCAAGTCTTTGTGCATGTGTGAAAATGTGTGTACAAAAGAACAAAGCGAGTAGCCAAGTGGGGTGGGGGTTGGGGGGTGGGGTCAAAGTGACAGAATGCTTATGTGCACGTTTATACTCAAGGGACCAGGATCCTCAGTCTGTTTAGGAACAGTAAGCTTTCTGCAGAAGGGCTGAGCTCCATCCTCCAACAGCCTCTGGGCCAAGCTCTCAGGGATTAACACAGGAGGAGAGACATGGGATGAGAAAGTGGCTAAAAGCTCAGATTTATCCTGTCTGTTGCCTCCCTGAATCCAACACTTCTTTCTTCTCTGCTGTGGTGATGAGTATGTAATTTATGACCAATAACTTCATGTCCAGTGGCCTTTAGCGGAGAAGGAAAAAAAAAAAAAAAAAAACATAGGAAAGGATCCAAAAGGCACTTAATTATGTGAAACCCTGTCTCTTTCTTTAAGCCAAAGCTGCCACATTTAACGACTTCTGAGCCTCGTTTATGACTCTATCCTTCATTAGTGACAAAAAGTGTGGGACTGCCAATGTGACCTACTCCGTTTCTGGCTGTGCAAAGCCTTTCTGGTAAGTGCGTTGCCTATTTGGAACCCTCAAGAGCTCACACTGGAGGTGGTGTCCCACTGATCCCATGCCTCCCATCAGATGCTGGCAGCCGTGGGCACAAAACATGCTTCCATTCCTCCCCATCGCCTTAGGATATGCAATGGCAACTAGGGCATCGCCATTCCACACATGCCCTGGCATCCATTGTAAAAGATCTAAAGTCTTCAAATTCTGTATTTTTTTTTTAATTGTTGAGATAACTTTAATGGCTCCTCCCCCCCTTCATCACCTCTATTTTATTTTTTGTGCTCTTTTTCCCTTGCTCCACTTACTAAAAGCATCCTCACCAATGGTAGCAAGTGTGAGGATCTGATAATAACTGGACTGCTCTGCCTCAAAGGTCTTGCTCCAAGTTACAACTTCCCCAATGTCTGGCTCTAAAGTTCTGGTTACATCAGATTTCTGTTCCAGGCTTCAGAATCTCAGAAATATTAACGAACAAGCACAACCTTCTTAAAATGCTGCTTGAGAATTCCGGCATTCGTTCAGCACATGGTGTGGCAACTGTCTTAAGTTTGCAGTACAAAAGGGTTATTGTCTGGAGCTTCAATTAAGTGGAAAACTCTGTGGGCGTTTGTGGAAAAGAGCAAGATGGCTCTCTCTATAGGGAATCCTGACATCACACAAACAACATGTTATGCTCGCAATGAGTTTCAAGTAGTCAATAAATAAAGCCATCAGGCTGGGTGGTATTCTGAATCTGGCCAGAGTGAAAGCGGGTTACATTAAGAAAAACTCATAAAAGTTGTTCTTTGACTTTATCCTAGATAATATGATCCAATCATATCTAAAAACTAATTTAAAACAAATTTCTAAAGTGTTTAACAAAAAGTGTTTAGTTTTAGCAGATTATCTTGGCTTTTTCCCAGCTAAAACAAGTAAAATCTCTGATTTTGATATCAGCATCTCTTTGTGAAATAAATTTCTCACACCCTAGATCACTAATAAAGAAAATTGATGCTTTGTAAAAATAAAAAAAAAAGGTTCTTGCTATTAAGTTAGTTACTCTATTTTTCATTTGGAACTTTCTTTGGACAGAAATGAAAACGAAAACAAAATACTTGTGACTGATTTCATGTCATATGTGTTAAATATATTAAACTACCTATGGTGTCACTGTGTGAGGTTTCCAGCTGGCAGCTAACAAACGGTGTTTGGAATAGCAGCTCCATAATTAGATTGTCTGTCTTTTCCTTCTAACAGGGCAGATGTAGCAGTCAAGCTGTTGTGTGTGTGTGTGTGTGTGTGTGTGTGTGTGTGAGTGAGTGAGCGAGAGAGAGAGATGCAAGAGGCACTGCATCAGGCTAATTTATGCATCTCAGAATAGGGTGAGACCTGTGAGATATCAGGCTGAGGAAAACCTCCCACCACAGGTGGATTTTCATCAACCAGTCTCTTTCATTCTCTCCTCCTGCACTTCCCCATTCACCTATACAGCCAACATAGCTTCCAATTAAAAGTGTGGCGGCATCTTTGATTCAAACACATACCTGTGTGTTTGAATTGTGTGCGTGTGTGTGAGATGCTGAATCTGTTAAGTTTGTTTGTACACCACCAACTGTGTTTTGAATGTTAATTCAACTGAGATCTAGATGTAGCAGGTCAAATACAGGCTATATCAGCTGAATACTCAAAAGGAACATACTGATGTGTTGTGTATGCATCTATGTTATCCTCTGTGCAAGACCAGACTATGCCTTTTAATCATGTGGTTTATTATTGCTTCTCTTCCCTCTGACTAAGCTCTTACTTACAAAATAAAAGCAAACACAGCAGTCCTATGTATTGATCAGTAAAACAGCAGAGTGGACTGCCAGTTTTTTATGTTATGTTACTGATGGCTAATGCATACCTGTCTTGATGGAGATGGATTTAAGTGCGTCTCACTGTGAGTCTAGCCCTCATTCTCCTGTCAAAATATAACTGACTGGAAATAAACCCAGACAGGACCTAAATGGAGTTTCTCCCTCTTGCTTGCTGTGCAGAGCATTTTTCTCATTAGGCTTCTCAAAATCCTTCAAATTCTCTACTGTAAACACTGACTATAGGGCATTTAAATCCAACACACCAACAATAAGCCCTGTATTACTGCAGCAGAGAACGGCAGCAAATAAATGTGTAAATATGTTGCATAAATGTGAAGCAGTGAGTGAAAGAGAATGAGTAAAAACAGACATTAAATATCAGGTATAACTCCAGTGACCAAGCAAAGACTGTTTTTTTTAAACAATGCACACTGCACAAATCAAAATTCTGTTCAATATTCATAAGAAAAAAGACATCCCCCATCTTTTGCATATGAAAAACATTCAATCAGCTTAGTAAGAAGAGGAAAACAGGGTCCTGACAGAAATTTACCAGACTACAACTATTTTTTCACTTGTGGATTTCACACATTTAGCTTGGGAAAAAAATGAAACTTGCTGAAACATCAAAAAGTTAAAAAGTTATAAACCAAAACAGTTAAATTTGTGGCACTGAAGGTTTTTTGTTTGAACTGTGTGCTTGTGTTGTTTGGATGCAACTTCTTCAAATGATATTAACTACTGTGCCAATGGAAAAAAAAAACTGACCCATCAGTTGTGAGGGCTTCCAAAGACAGGCTATAAAGCAACATTCAATATTTATTATGTTCTTTTCTTTTTGTCTGAAATGATGATGATCTAGGAATGCAAGATAAAATCAGCAGCTGAAAGTTTAACATCTAAATCCACACACTATACAGTAGGTCATTTACCTTTTCTGTAACAAAATACTGACAGGAAATTTTTCAGAGAAGAAATCTATTATTTAATCAATTCATCAGGACCAGTGCTACCTCTGCCCTGTTACTGCTGTGAATGGGACTGACCTGGTGAAGATCATTCCCCAGGGTAAACTCTTGGAAATACCCGGGGGCTGCTGACGTGGCTCGGATGGCCTGCCAGAGCTGGTGCTGGCAGCCCCCGAGGTAGTGTGAATGCACCCCAGGGAGTAGGTTGTAATTTCTGAACACATAGGACTTCAGAGGAGTGCCCCGGTTCACGATGGTACTCACTGCTGCCACCTAAAGGTAAAGGACATGACATATGACTTGACTTGTTTTTCAGAAGCAGGATTTTAAAAACAAACTGCAGCTAATGCAAGGTTACACTTAGACAACCTGAACTGAGGTAACAACCAGTAGGCTCTGCCTGCCATACCTCAGTAAAAACCAAGTCTGTATCAAATTTGACATCAAATGCTTCTAGGCCAACACTCTGGCAGATCATTTTCATAACATCTCTGCTGTTTGACCCTTAGAGGACTCTGCTGCCATAAGAAATCTTTAGCCACACTGTGGAGAGTATATTTTCCTATTTGTCTTGCAAAAAAATGCAGGATTGAGACAGAAAAAGGAATTTTTTTTGTATTATCTCTGTACACAAGGTGAGGCAGTGGCTTACTGATAAGGGCCAGAACAGAACTACAGGGATGAATGAGTCAAAGCATTTTCTGAAGCAGACCTTGGGGCATTCGGTGTTTCTTGAAGTTTCCACCAGGAGGTGAGAGCCCATTTTCTCTCTGTGCAGGGGAAGACACGACAATGTCATTTTCTGATTTTGTGACAGTATTATGATGTGTTAAAGAAATCCCTCTACAAACTTCACAAAATCTTTTGACATCAGTTAATGGAACTTTGTCTTTTTTGCTAATCATAAATTTTATCATACCACTTTTTTTTGCCCACAGTACAATTTATGTGAACATTATATAACTAATGATGTTTTCAGAGCATGCAGTGGTGATTGTCCACCCCCACCATTTAGTAGGGTCATCCACCATGGTCACATCTGATTATATTGTTATCAAAATTACTGTTGCATGGCAATGGTGTACAGACTTAAATAAATCTCTTTCAAATGTGTTATCAGCAAATCTTTATATTAATTTAATGAACAGAAAGCAGGCAAGACTGTCTGTTTATGACTGTCTGGAAAGAAAGAAAGAAAGAAAGAAAGAAAGAAAGATGTTTCACTGCATCACTATCATGGCATTTTAACATTACTCATTGATCCTCATTACTCATAAAACCCAGATGCTCAACAATAACTTGCTTGAGGATGTTCTCCCAGGCTTCACTGTCATAAAAAGCATGGCTCCAGCTCATCTTCACAGTGCCAACAATGATGTTTTGTTTGAAAACATCTGAACCCAATTTCCGATAAAGATCGTCACATTCATTCAGTGGAACTTGGAACACCCCTAGCATGAACCCGAGGACAGCACCTGAAAAAAAAGACAAGACGCACACACGTTTAAAGAGGATAAGTGTGTGAGAGGTACTGGTAGACCATCATACAAGCAGGAAGTATAAGAGCCTCAGTTACTCCTTTGGGAATGTAACAAGTTAATCTTGGAAGCAAATGAGTGAACTGGCATGGAGCTGATGCAATCAATTAAGAGTAACATTATCCTTATATAATCCATTCCTAAGCATTGCATGAGATTACCATGACTATTACATTGTAGACAAATACTTCTCAGCTACTTTCTCTTCGAGGACCCCTACCAGGATTCACAAGACATGACAGAGTTTGGAAGGCAGACTTGAGGGGCACCTGAATAATATGGGTGTGTCCAGTGTGACATTCTCTAAATCTGAAAACAAAGCACCTCTTAAGAGTGAAAAACTGATGGGAAGCAGGGACAAACAGGAACCTTTAGCAGTGATTAAAGTCCAACGTGCCCTGCAAATAAAATGCAGCCTTTTAATCTGCTGTAAAATGAAAACAGCAAACTGGAAGATAGAGAAGACCGTGTGAGGGCAGCCCACATCACCCTCTTGTGGAAATCTGTATACAGGGGAAAAAAAATATCAATCTACCTACCGACTATTCCTGGAACCAAATGTAGTAAAATCAATATTAATGGTGTAATTTTATGGATCACCTAAGCATTTTAACAACTCTTTCACTCTGGCCTAAAATGTTTATCAGCAAGGGTGACAGGGGGGTATTGATTAATGATATTGAGGTCGAAACAAGAGCAGAGCAACAAATGGGTCAGCACGTGAGCAGCGCAGCCAGTCTACTCTGATAATCCATACACATACAGAAGTAGGGCAGGAGGACAACGTACCTGTGCTGACACCACAAATGTAATCAAACAGTTTATAAATGGGTTTGCCGGTTAGGGCCTCCAGTTTGTGTAAAGTCTGAAGTGCAAGAAGTCCCCTGGAAGTACAAAGCCAGACATACACATAGACAATGAGTCAAAAATTAATAAGATGACAACCACAGAATAGAGTGACAGCTAACTGATTTCAAAGTTGAACAACAAATACAAACATTAAATAAAGCTGTATTCATTAAACTATAAGTGTTTCTCAAGATTACATTTAGGCTGAAACTATTTATAGAAGCGCTGCCATGTTATTTAGTTCCACTCTGAAAAAATCTGATATCAGTGACTCATATCTTACTTAAGAGAAAACAAAAATGAAGACTGAACTTGTACCTTAATCCTCCTCCATCTATGGCAAGGATTCGTATGCCCCGGCCTTTAACAGGTTTATGGTAGCCCACCAGAGTGAGGGCTTCTCTAACTGCTGCCCTCAGGCCTGGGTCACTGGCCTGCTTCAGACGCAGTAGACATGGGATAACCTTCTCCTGAGGAACATACCAATATACCATATTAGTCAGAAGTCTGTCAGTTTATCATGATGTGTTCAGGCCAGAGCTGGTCTGGGATATTCACTTATGGAAGTGGAATAGAAAGTAATATGAGTAGGGTCTCAGAAAAAAAGAATTCAGGGATACTTTACTTAGCCATCTGACACTGTTGTTCCATAAATTCACAGCACATAAAATGAGAATTAATTTACTACCAACAGACAGAATAATATGACTGATATAAGACCAAAGCTCAGGTCAGACTGTCCCCACAATAGTCTCCTTTATTTCTGTTGCCATTTGCAAAGCTATCAAATGTATTCTTACATTCATATGTGGAGTATAACACTGATTTTTCATAGACTATTAACCCTCCACAGAAAGTATCCTTTATTGAAAATAGATTTATAATGAATGAACCCCTGACCTATTCACAAATAAGACTGAGAAACAAATGCTGCAATATGCAATGTACATAGTTGCCTAGCTAGGACATTAAAAACAGAGCAGAATGTACCTACTGCTAACAAAATGACATTTTGCCTTGCATGGGAAAATTCCTCAACACAAGTACAGGGCCATAATCTACATTATATAGCTACAGCTGCTTAACAATTCATGTTAGATTTACAAATCTAATGCATGCATAAAAAACATGCTGTAAACACTGCCCTGACACTGTGAGCTAGTGCCAAACATAACAGTTGATGCTTCTGACATGCTAAGCAGCATCAGACATAATGCTTACAAAGCCTCAGGATTCTAGTATTCTGGGGGGGGAAAGCAAGTATGTTCAAATTTCTCACCTTGACTGCAATACCACGAGTCTCAGGAAATTGAAGGAGATGGTAGCTGAGGTCCTCCACCCTGCTGATGTAGACCCTTACATCTGTTGCCCTGTGGAGAGCCTGGACCAGAGCTCGGGTCCGATTGTCTATACTCACCCTGGCAATAATCTAGGAGACAAATACCAACAATGTCTAACCCAATTAAGTCTTACTTTTAAGTGCTAGCTGAGATCCAAGCAAAAGCTTGACATGTTAAATGGTTAATTAAAGGAAATTGCTCTCATTTTCATGCAATATACATGGTAACAATCAAATGTCATTATTGGTTCAACATTTTTCTATGACTACTAAGCATGGGATAGGAAAAACATTCAAATCACTACTGGCACAAATATTTAAAGTACTGTATGTAATACAATGCTTAACTTTGTCACCTTATTGTTATTGTAATCAGCACATTTAATTTAAAATCTAAAAGTGAACTGGGTTATAAGCGCGATAACAGTGGTCTGAAAACTCAGGCAACATGAGTTAGAATGTAAACTCCAGTACAACAAATTCATGACAAAGTTGCCACTAAATAACTTAACATTGCAAAATATTATTGACAGGCTTAAACCTTTTAAGTGCCTTCAATGACTTTTTATGGCCCTTGGACTAAAATGTAACAGCAGAACAGGACTATAACCCACCTGTTCATCACATGAATCTACTGCACATCAGCAGTCAAAGGACATAAATCATGCAGGGTTTCTGCTATTTGCTAAGCCACATATTGTTTGTTTCAATTTCAAATTACTCAGTCCAGCCTTGCCATAAACAAAATGCCATGGGTGTTTATATCACCACAACATACATACAGGAAAAGCCTGCTTTGGCCTATATAAAGCCCTTCTGTGGCCCTCGAATCCACAAGTGGCTTATTTTTGAAAAGTGATTTCCAGAACTCAGCCAGAACATCAGTACACAATAGTATCATTGCATGTATTAGAGTAGTGGCAGCTCTGGCCAACATGTGGATAGCAGGTACCCTGCTAAGATATTCCAGACACTAAGAACTATGTGATGTGGGAATCATGTTTTAGTCAAACATGGACACAGACACACAGCACAGCACAGCACAGAAAAATGTTTACATAAAGCAGTATGAAATTATTCCAAGAGTAATGGGAAATAATAATAAGATACTGTACGAATAGCCAGCACCACCCTCTAGCAAGATAATTGTTAAAAGTTGCCATACAGACCTTTAAGTGATTACTAAAATAAGTGATTTAAATATATAATTTTCCTATTATGATATAAGGCCAATTTTACGAATGAAACATTGCTTTTTGTAAACATACCTTTTCTCTTTGGAGCAGAAGTGTCTTGGCTTTCTCCTCTGCAGCCTTCTGCTCTTTACCAACTGTGGCCTCAACCTGTTTCAGTGATGCATCTTCAGGTTTCTTCTGCTCCACAGCAGTACTTTTGGACTCTGCTGTCCTAAACTTTGGAACAAGGGGAGCAATGTAGCTTCCCACAAAGGCTTGCACAGTTGGACCTGAGTAGGACAGGTAGTGTCCTAAACCCTTCTTAGAGGAAGGTGGGTTAACTGGAGCAGTAGAATCTGTTTTCCCAGTAACTGACATGTGGTTACTGGTTTGTTGACCCTGAGAGGAAGCAGAGGAACTGTCAACAATGTCAACTTTCTTTTCCTGAGTCTTTGCAATGCTTTCAAAGTATGAGTTGATGTGATGGGCCAAGCAGTTGTATGTTTCATCCAAGCTGACAGAAAAGCTGCTGGGATGAAAAAGTTCTATGGTTTGTATGGATGTTGTGCTCTTGTTCTTGGTATCATTCAGTGAAGGTTTCAGCTCCTCTTGCTTCCTGGCACCACTGGCTTTGACAACAGGAACAACATGCCCCAGTCTTTTCTCCTTAAGTTCATGCACAGTCGGGACTGTAGCAGTGACAGTCATTTGAGAATGAGTAAAGGTAGTGGCACTTGCATCACATGTAGCAGCAGAAGTAGGCAAAGAAGGACTAGCAGAAGATGAGTGAATTGCAGGGTTGGGTGTTGTTGATGTAAAAGGAGGCGTAATCATGTCTGCACTCTCTTGAGCTTTTGGCTTTGCCTCAGTAACAGCATTAGCACCTTTCCCTCCCTTTAAAGCATTAGGTTTGAGTCTGGCGATTTTGGAGAGAAGTTCCGTTTGTGTCACACTCACAGCTTTAGAAAGCGTGTCCAGTGTGTTCCTGACCCGCGACATGTGGTGGCTCAGACGAGCAGACCAACGTGAGGCTGAAGTGTTCAAATAAATGGTGGTGGTGTGGAGTCCATGCCTAATTGGCCATCCTTTATGGCCCCTGATCCTGAGATGGTGGATGTCTTTCCAGCTGCGATAGCCAACCTTGTAGTAAAGAGGTTGTAGTACCCTACGGTGACAGGTACCAGATAAGGGTAGTGAAGTTGCTGACTTGCCAGCATGGGTTTGCCACAAAAGAAATACTGTGCTTAGTTTCACCCAAATATTTTCTGTCCCTCTATGACTCATTCTTTCAGGTCACACAAGTTTATTCCCTCCAAGAAATGCTAGATGTGCTCGTCCTTCTCATTAACCTAGTGATGAACAACAACAACAACAAAAGATGCTTAAATAAAATAAAGAAAGAAAAAATAAAAAGATGAAAGTAATAACACTGTTTCTAAAACCTAAATCTTGTATCTGGGTGTTGCTCAGTTTTCTTCATAAGTAAAACCGCTTCGGTAAATGTTCCAAACTGAGAGGAAAACAAAATAGCTAAAGTGCTACACTAGCACAGCTAGCTAACTCGCTAGTATTCATATAAGCTACACAAAGATAATACACAATACCAATCTTTTTAATGTCGTTTTCACGGAAACCAAACAAACATTTAATCCCCTCAGTAAGTCAGCATTCGCCGTTAATGTTAACACAAAAGCTTACCGTACAGAATAAAATAGTACTATCCGACCTTCATGATGACTATTGATATTAAAGTAACAACGTTGGTCAATGGTCATGTGATCTCATATGTGCCCTGCAATTGGATTTTTTCTTCTTCTTCTTACTCTTTTTACTCTTCATCGTATGGTGTTTGTTGGCGGTATTGGATTCTTTTAGTCACATTGTGTGTTGAACTGCACATATATTTTTGCTAATGCTTATATTTAAAAAAGATATGATAAAAAAAATTAAACTAACACTCTCCAGCCAGTTTTTTTCTCGTAAGTGACACCAGCAGCTTAATTATTTGGTAATATGGGTTCCAATCGGCTTCACTGTCACCCGAAGCCAATAGATAGATGTTAAATTACCTTCGCCTGCGCCCAAGTGCCCGGTAAAAAATAAAAAGTGTTCAGGGTTTTTTTTATTTTTTATTTTTTTACTTACACTACCAGTCAAAAGTTTGACAATTTCCTATTCAATTCAGGTGGAAACTGGTAGTGTATGTAGTTAACTTTAAAACTTAATTTGAAAGTGTTTAGCGTTAATTCAAGTTCATTTTACCATATTAATAAAAATAAGGTAAAATGAACGCAGAACCGTATCAAATAATTTTTATTATTAGTAGTAGTAGTAATCATTATCATCATCCCAAGCCGTATTCCACCTTACCAGTTGGTGGCGCTAATATACGAATTTGTTGTTTGCTAACTGCTATAACGCTTAGAAGAAGAAGGCGGCGGCCGTGCACTAATAAAAACGATGCTATTGCTAACGTTAGTAACTGTGACTTGATAATAAGTTGCAAATTAATTCAGCTCTGATATGTTTAGCGTTAACTAAACACGCAGTAGGCAGTGTATGCGCGAAACTCAACCAGCACTCCTGATCCCCGTAAAGGTAGGTAATGTGAACCTAAAACAACGGAAAATATGTGTATTATAGCTTGTGAAAACCACCGGCTAGCTAACGGTAGGGTTGATGTCAGTGATGATGACATAGCAGTGAAATAACCTTAGTGTAATTTTAACTTATTAGCTGACGTTTAACTATAGCCCTAATTTAACGCTACATGAGATCTAACGTTTTTCGAGGACTAGAGTTTCTGTTACAAAAATTATTATTTAGAGCAAAAATTGCTGTGACGTTCAGCGTTAATGTTATTGAATCAATTCAGTCACAACTAACATAGGCTAACGTTACTGCAATAGTTGGCCACAATCTCTGAACTTGAAGTTGTATTTTCCAAAACAGTGCGGTTACCATTGTGTTTTGATCAATGTAACAGAGTTTTCACAAATCTGAAACTAACTTCACTTGTTAAGCCTGTCCAGGTTTGATAAGTATAAACTAAATGGAGGGTCATTCAATGCGACCTAGGCTTTTGTTGTCTGTGTCACAGTGAAATCTCCAGTTTTTTTAGATCACAGAAAAAGGTTTCACAAATCTTAAAGTTGGTTTCAAGCAGCAATAAGGCATTAACTGTGATATCCAATACCCTTTCACAACAGTAAATGGTGCAAACAGCAAAGAATTGGTCACCTAACATTGTAACTTAGGTTTCTCCTTAACTGCTGTATCAACTAAGGTGCTATGTTTTTCTTGAATGCAGGGGACATCAGAGACATGGCAACTGCACCATCTGTTGTAATGTTTGCAGTGTGTGTCCTTACGGTAACAGAGCTGATACTTGCCAAGAGGGATTACTACGATATACTAGGAGTGCCTAAAGATGCCACTGAACAACAGATAAAAAAAGCTTTTCACAAGCTTGCAATGAAATATCACCCTGATAAAAACAAGAGCCCAGATGCTGAAGTGAGATTCAGAGAAATTGCAGAAGGTATGGTTAATTCTGTGTGTGTGTGTGTGTGTGTGTGTGTGTGTGTGTGTGTGTGTGTGTGTTTATTT